TTGCTCAGCATCGCTCCCCACGGACCACCGAACCCGCTCGGCTGCGCCGTCGACACCGGCACGAAGCTCAGATGCGTGCCGAGCTGCGGGTCGCGTGCCCAACGAAACGGCGGCGGCAGCGCCACCATCAGCAGCGTCGGGACAACGCTCCCACCGCCGCGGATGTCGTTCTGCGTCAGGCTCCCACCATCCGCCGTCGTCGTCACGGCGAGCGTCGGGCACGCCACGTCGCTCCACCACAGCGTGCTGCTCACCGACGCCGTCGGGGTCCGCGTGGGCGGCAGCGCCACCGTCTCCGTCACCTGCAGCGTCTCCGTCGGCCCGTACTGCGTCGGACTGTAGTGCGGCGTCCACGCTGGCGTCATCGTCGGGCTGCGCGTCTCCGTCAGCGTCGCCGTGCGACTCAGCAGCGGCATGCCGGGCGTGCGGTTGCACCCGTCCACGTGCGGCAGGTACACCGGCAGGCAGTCGCGCCCGTACCCGCCCTCAGCACAGCGGCAGCCGCACGACCCCGACATCGCCCTCGTCGCAGCAGCAAAGCAGCGCACGTCGGCGTCGCACACGCCACACGCCACGGGGCGGAATTCCCCGATGATGCCGGCGGACCTGTAGTCCATAGGCCGCAGTGCCTGCCCATTGAGCGTCAGGCACCCCACAACGAACTTCCGGCCGGTGCCCCCGAGCGCAACGGTGCCGTCCATCACGACGAGCCCGCTGCCGGCGTTCCCGTGGAGCGTCAGTGTGCTCTGCGCGAGATCCGCACCGCGCGGGTACGGCGGCACCGACAGGAGCCTGCCGCTGATGTTGTTGCCGCGCACCGACAGCCACGACCCGGACACGAACGACGCCGACCCCCGCAGCACCAGCAGCGCGCCATCGGTCAGCGCACCGGCGTTGTCGTTCACTACGACGGCGGACGCGCTGGCCTCCACACCGCTGCCAAACACCAACCCGTGCGCGGCGTACACCTGGCTCCCCGACAAGCGCAGCACAGCGCCCCCCGACGCAACCACGCGCGCACTAGCGTACAACGCATATTCGCCACCGAACACAGCCGCGTCCAGCGCAACACCGCCACCGACAAGCTCCAGCACGGCGCCGTCCACCACCACCGTCCGCCCACCAGTCATCACGGTCACGAGGGCCACGCCGGACACAATCAGCACGGAACGCACAAGCCGCAGGCCCGACAGCACAAGCACCGGTGCGTACGGCGAGGACTCCGAGCCGGAAAGATACACAAGCGGCGTCGGCCTCGCGGCGACCAGCAGGGAGTCCGTCACCGTCAGCACGGACCCCGCAGGGAACGTGCCGGTCAGCACAAGCGCACCGTTCAGCGCCTCCACATCGCACACCGACAGCTCCACCGGCCCGCTCTCGTCGCTCCCCGCCGCACGCGCACCGCGCAACGCCCCGCCGCCCATCACGCACAGCACGGCACCGTTCAGCAGCGACACGTTCTGCACAACGATCCGCACGC